CCTATAACTGTCCCTTTAGACCGGCTGAAGTTCTTTTAAATTGTGCTTGGTTTTGTTACAGCAACTGAAGGAGTCAGGTTAAAGCTTAAACAGTTACAGGTTTATTAAAGAAGCTTATAAATCATATGGTTACAATGGCTATTGCTCTATTTCTTAACTATTAGCAAAATATAGGTCTTAAAAATGGTTACAAAGAAGATAAAGATAGAAAAATAGAAATAATGGTACCAAGTAACAGCTTACTCTTTCTATGTGTACACTTAAGACAGAGGACCACATCCAGGTACCATTTTTACCCCCTTCTGTGCCTCTCGACTCCAGCATGTCAGGCCAGGGCCGGTCCCTCAATTCCTAGGAAAGACGAAAATACGAGGTGGGCGTCCCCATAGAACCTCGGGAGGTCAAACACCTAACCCGACCAGCAGGTAGAGGGTAGAATGACACACCAAGTGAGTGTGTGCTGGGCCCATCTTTATAATCATGGGGTCACGTATTTCTCTTTCTTATCTTAATTGCCAATTGATGCTGGTCTGTCTGCTGTGAGACCAGTTCTTACAAGGGAGTTGTGAACTTAATTTACACTTGTAAGAGAGAATTGAGGTGATTAAATTTTGAAGTACAGGACATTGTTTTCTCAGTGGGAAATTCCTCTTCCTGGGACTGTGTGTGTTCGAATCAACATAGATGCCAGCCGCAGCCTCGAGGCCAGCTTATTGACTTAGCTACTCTCTATCCACATATCTGTGTTTCAGCTTCTCAGGATCAGATGAGCCAGCATAGACTATGCTGATATTATTGCTCCTTCTCTGCCCTGTGCTTCAGAGAGGCAAATAAGATGGATAATATGGAGGCAGGCTGTCTGGCCACACTGCACTGCTCAAGGATCCTGGTATGTCCTTTGGCCCTGAGGCTGGCAGTGATCCTGCCGCAGATGTCAGCATTCCGTTTCTTGGTGCAGAGGTTATGGAGGATGGACTCCTTTCCCCCACACCTTGATGAGATCCAGGATCTCCTGTGCACTTCAATCTGGAGCTCTTCTGCAGCTGTGGGCAGTGGAGGCCAGGGGAGCGCTCACAGCCATCACAGTGTCCGAGTGAACGTTGGGGGTATTCATGTTGTGATGTGCTATGTGCTCACCAAGGACTTGCGAAGCTGGACACATGGGACTGACCCTTCTCCAGTTCCTGGGACTTTTAGAGCTCAGCAGGAGGAGAGCCATCAAGATGCAAGGTGTGGCTAGAGTGGTCATAGTGGACAGCTGTAGGAGGCCTCCCAGAGGCTAGTGGGGTTGGATTTCCCTAAATGCAGCATCTACACTAGCATAATTTCAGACATGCATGGTCAGGAAAAGCATTATTCTTTGTGAAATCAGAACTACAGAATTTGAATTCTGCAACCCCTTACGGCGGAACGACATGCTTGGTAGTGTGGACTCATCACAGATAAGCAACCGTGGGGGGCTAAATGCAGGGTAAAGTCCTAGTGTAGACCAGGCCCCTTAGATTAAAGAAGGCATTCACATCCTTCATTGAAAGGTAATTACACACTATAATCAAGTTATTTCTCAAACTTCTTTTGATAAGCTAAACAGATTGAGCTCTTTTAGCCATTTTCCATTTCTTCACTTCTTTTTATTGCACTTTTCTACACCTTCTCTAGTTTTTCAACATCCCTTTTAAAATGTGGATTCCAGAACTACATGTGATATTCAGTATTGATGTCTCCAGTGTAAGGATGTTAAGTATCAGGTAATTAACTAATCAAATAGTTGATGCATTTTGCTAGGGCGCCTCCGCCTTTGAAGGCAAAAGTGCCGTGTGGAGCCTGGGATCAGCTGGTGGCTTACTGACCCCAGGCTCTGTGTGGCACTGCCTCTTTGAAATGCTGTGAGGAGTCTGATGCTGAGCTTCCCAGCGTTTTAAAGTGGCAGTGCCGCACAGAGCCTGGGATCAGCTGGGGAATCCGCAGGTGATCCCGGGCTCCACACGGTGCTGTCACTTTGAAATGCTGCCATGAGTCTGACACTGGGATCCCTGTGGCATTTCAAAGCAGCGGCGCTGCACAGAGCCTGTGGTCAGCTGGGGACTCTCCAGCTGCTCCCGGGCTCTGTGCAGCACTGCCACTTCGAAGTACCCACTCTTCTTCCCCCCTCTTACTGCCTCCATCTGATAGAGGCAGCAATTGGTGGGGGCCGGGGGAGCGACTAGTCCACTATCCTATCAGCTGTTCAATAAGCATTTCCTTACTGGATAGTCGTCTAGTTGACTAATCATAGAATCCTAGGGCTGGCAGAGACTCAGTAGGTCATTGTGTGCAGCCCCAAATCCTTCAAATCCCCAAATCCTAGTCCTTCAGGGTATGTCTACACTACAGCACTAATTCGAACTAAGCTAATTCGAACGAGTGCAACTAGACCTAAAAACTAGTTCAAATTAGCATTTTGCTAATTCGAACTAGGATGTCCACATTGAGTGGACCCTGAAACGAGGTTAAGGATGGCCAGAAGCAGTGCCGGCAGGGCATCAGATTAGGACTTAGAGCATGGAGCTGCTGTCTCAGGCTAGCCGAGGGCTGTGCTTAAAGGGACCTGACCCCCACTCCAGACAGACAGTTCTCAGGGGTTCCCCGCTTGCAAAGCAGTCCTGGCTTGGAGTGCCCAAACTCGGCACATCACAGCACTCGGCCATCAGCACGGCTGCACTTGCCGCAGGCTGCCATTGGGGTGGGGGTCAATCGGGGGGCTTCAGGAGAGCTTCCACCCCGAGGAGCTCGCAGAGCCACCCAAGTCCTCCCCATCAGGGGCTCGTGCCCCATTCCTCCCTCACCTCCTTCCACTTACCCCTCCCTAACC